ACGTGGTCACCGGTAGGAATTACCTTCGCAGGTCGTAATCGGATTTAACGACACGGCCCGACGTGCCCGGCGCATTATTCCGTGAAATATCTTCGCTCGATATTTCAATTTGACGGTCTCCGTGTTTTCCAAAATGCGCGAGACGGCTTTTACCGTATTCGGCCGGATACGGTAAAATGCTGAATACGCGACGGAAAAATAAGACAAATGGAGGTAAAAGCTTACATAGAACGGGCGTGTAAAGTTAAAATAATGTCTTTGTGTTCTCGAGATTTCGCGGGACGAAATTTCACTCCAAGCGATTGGAAATTCACTCGAATCAGTGGTGAAGATATTGATTCCACTCGGAATTGCAAGAATGCATGTTTAAGTCAAACTTGAGGTGGATTCCCAATCCACACGAATGAATGTTCCAGTCGATTAGAATTAATTTGTTCTAATTACGGTGAAGTACGTTGGATTCGATTCGAACCGAGATATTCGCTCGACGATTTACTTCACTCTGTACCAACGAAAGGTCACTTGAATTCGAGTCACTCAGTTGTTGCTCTATTTTCCAAAATGAAATTTCGAGGAAATTTGGGGAGTATCTTTCCGTTGGACTCAATCGTGTTATAAAATAACGGGAAAACTGCTGATAGAACACGACAGAGGAGACCGATTAAAGACGGACAATGGCATTTTATTCATATGACCCACATAGGAATTCACCCTTACTTACGTCAATCAGTTTTTATCGTCGGAACTGCCGATCACGAGAGGAAATCTCGCATTATTTTCCCATAGAAGATCCGCACATTTCCGCACTCTTCTGTACGCGACACGATTTCAGTATTTGATTACTGTGCTTGATTTGTCGTTTCCGCCGATCAAATTAAAGTGTCCTTGTTTCGATACGAGTGAACTTGCGCGGGCACAAGGAGTCGACCGGTTACCGAGCGGCGATGCTGGTTGCTGCGCGGTAAATGGAATTAATGGCGTCGGGAATGATAAGTGACGCCGTGGCTGAATCTGATTTGATTACCAAGTATCTGCTGCTGTCCAGCAGCACAACAGCGACCTAACGTCGCATCGATCGTTGTTTTTAGCAGATGTACACCGTTAGTTAGGAACGAGCAAAACGCTATTCCCGATTCGCACGATCAACGGCGTTTCCGATTACATCGCCTTCGAGAACGATTGTGCGTACAGGTAGATTTTCCCCGCATCATGTTCATGACTTTATTTCTAAGGATGAGCCTGCCGTGCCTCGGGTATTATCGAATTTATTTATCGACACCACTCACTTTCCCGTCTGTCAGTCGTTAAGGACACCGGGTTATGTGTCACGCCTACACTTAATACGACAGACGTTTATCGGACGATCGAGAATCGTCCCGGATGATTTAAAAGTTATTCGAAGCTCCGTTGGAAACGACGAGGAGGAGAAATTGTATACGTAGGTCGCGGAAGCCAGATTTTATCCGACAGAGCTGCTACGACCGATGAGTTTGAAAATACACGTTAAGATTTTAGCGATTGATATTAGATTTTTTAGTACGGTAATAATGCGAGAACACTTGTTAGATTTTTTGTTATATACTGAAAAAAAAAGAATTTGGTAACAATTACCAAATATTTAATGAAGTAGTTTCACGACTTGGTTGCAGTAACCAAATCATTAAGTTGCATTATACGTTTAACTAAATTATTTGGTTAGTACTTAATTAAATGATTCAGTTACGTTAACCAAATAATTTAGATGTACGTACCATGCATCTGAATGGTTTGGTTACACTAATCAAGTAATTTAGTTACACATACCATGCAACTATAATTCGGTTGCACTGACCAAATAATTTCATTGAAACTATTTCACTAAATGTTTGATAATTATTACCAAACTCTTTTTTCTCTAGAATATTCTCTAGAATCTGGAATATTTTACTCATATCGATTTGCATCTCCTTCTCAATATTTCACTTATCAATGTGAACAAAAAGAGAAATTAAGAACACGCATGAATAGGTATCTCTTTGTATATTGCACTACGGTGTTTCAATGATTCCGAACACGTTCAAAATACTGTGTGCTAGTTTAAGTATCGCAATGGTGAACAAATAGCGACAAAGTAATACGACGAAATGATATAACAAGGTCCATAGACAGCGTGCCGGTTTCGGATAAGAGGGAACACAGTGCTGTGAGTGCCGCTTAAAACTGGTTTCCGTTGCGTTCCTAGGCGACTGGCTGATCAGAGCGTAGATAGGGTATAGGCTTACTCTAGTTTGCGGTCAAGAAGCGTAGCAGAAATTCAATCTCCTTCGTCCGAAGAGGAATTAAAGATCGTCTTTATTGCGCCCTGCGCCTTATTCGCGATATTAATTACGCGCGTTACACAATCGACTCGATTAATATTCGAACTTGAGTAAACGTTATTTCCCCGTTTAGGTTTCACCGTTTTGATTTCCCCTTTTCACTATACACAGTGGCTCGAGAAAATCCCCCAACTGAATCTATCCTCCCATTAAAATGTAAAAGAGGCGAGCTGGTGATTCGAAGTTTTGTTGTCGTAAGTTCACAAATGCTGTCGCGCGTATAGGGCTTTGTTGCTAATCTTTCAGGAATAAATTTCCACGTCTTGAATACTGATACGCGTATTATTTTGCTCCGGGATTTATCTTGCGGCGAAACACATCGCGCAGAATTTACTTCCGAAGTTAAATCGAGTTTTACGCGCCCGTGATGTGCGCGATGTGCGCGATAGGAATCTCCGCGGCACTTGACATATGGACGATTAGTTGGACTTTTCCGGCTGAAATCTTTCTTCAAGACTGAGATCAACAAGTTCTCACATTATACCTCCAGCCTCGCGGCCGGTCGGTACTCGACCGCTTTAACAAGTTATCGCGGCTGGCGGTTGCGCGTGATAGTTTTATCGCGTTTTCTATCCGCGAGCCTCTCTTCGTCGAAAACTTCGCGCAAACTACGAAGTTCCGGTGCGCCGCTGTAGTATACGCCGCTGCATCAGTTCGATGGTATCCAGCTGAGTGCAGCTGACAAGAAGAGCGACGAGAGAAGAGGAGGAGGAGCGTGCAGCGGCTGCACGATGCACCGTGCAGACTTGATGGTACGAACTACAGCTTGTTCCGTCCTTACGCAGGGACGGATTTAAGCCAAGCACGCCTTAAATTCCCTTATTTACGACCAGGTTTGACCATCCTTGATTTGAGTGTCACCCGGAGATTTAATAAAGAAATTAATTTATGATTAAGAAATAAGACTCTTAAACATTTTTTATTAAATTATTAAATAATTAAATAACTATAATATAATATATAAAACTATAATTAAGCTACGATAAATAATTATTCGCGGGCAGGAAGAAACAGTTGGGTGTTTTTTTTTAATTTATATCAATTTGATCTCTTGTTAATTTTATCCATTTTATTTTATTTTTTTTTAATTATTTTTTTAAATAAATTGATACTGTTTGCAATAGACAGATATAAAGAGATTTTTCAGTTGGCAATTGGGAGAAGTAGTAGTAGAACCTGAAGTTCATAGAGGAAATATAATACCCGCGGGAATATGGACAAAAGCCAGTGAGGTAGTCACCCTGCCCAGAACGCGCTGTTAAATTTTTAAATTATAAAATTTTGTGGTCATATCTCTTTCTCTCTTTTATTATTAAACGTTTGTGTCCCGAGCCAACCTGGTTTCAACTTTGGCATTCTACCTCAAGCATACCAACTTAGTGAGCAATAACGATAAAATTACGTTAAATTCTAATGAAATTGCAAACTACAATCAGAGCTACTATTGATAAATCAATTCTTCCCATTTGATTTGACAATATTCATAAATAAATTGTCAACGTCGCGTAAAAGTTTGCGAAACGCAAGGAATTAATATTACTGTCATAAAAAAAAAGAAACGATAACTCAGGTTGTCATTGTAACTAATAAGAATACAATATTTCTTCGAGCGTTAGGAATATAATATCGCAAACATCTGCACAAAAAAGGGCTAAATTCAAGTAAATAATTGCTCCAATATTCTTGAACAAATATTTTAATTTCGACCAAATAATATTTACTTGATCTAAGTAAAATATTTTTCAAATAAATTATTTAAGTAAAAATATTTATTTGATCCAAGTAAAATTTCCTTAATCCAAATAAAAATTTGCTAAAGAGGAGAAAAATTTGCTAATTATTTACTTAAATTTGACACTTTTATTCCATGTGGACATATTCTTCTTCCATCTTATCTGTCGTGTAGCTCGACTGTTGTTTGGCGATTACGGGTTTACGAATTTATTTATTCCGAAAGCTCAAGCTCCGAATTTCAAGCCATCGTTGCTCGGAAAGTTCAACCTCATAATTTCGTGCGCTCAATTCTGCGCCTACGAGCGCGCGCGTACTTGCGTGCTCTTGCACGCGTACACACGGTATTCCCACCGTATTCACGGGCCAATAGTTTATATGCTAATCCCGTGTGGAAGGCGATTCTAAGTCCCAGCGACTCTGCAAACTTTCACCGTCGCGCATTAACGACTTCTCTTTCGGTGCGGCGGATGCGGCGTGCCGAGATAAACGATTTCGCGTAATCCGCGAACATCGCGAAAAGCCGCGTGTCATCAACGCGGTGTAACAGCGTGAGAAGCGCTTTCGACAAACGCGGTAACTTCGAAGCCCCTCCGGATCGATCGTCGATTCTTCGCGAACCAACGGACGTTACTTTTCGTCGGAGGACAGAGATCGAAATTTCTCATATATCGAAAATCACAATCGCCGGGTCTCGGCGAAAGGGTCTTCGTCAAAATCACGCACCGTTCAACTCGCACGAGCAACTCGTCGGAATCTTTTGAAAGAAGAGGGTAGGGGTAAGGCGGGGGAGAAAAAAGGATATGATACGTAATATCTAGTTTGATTTACACATTCCCAGCGGTCCCCGACTATTCTCAGAAAGACGATGGCTACGTATCGCTCGGCGGACGTTATTCGTTATGCATTCACCTGCTCTTTGGAGAAGACACACTTGACGTTAATCCAACGGTGCGCCTGGACGGTGCAGTTGCAGCCGTCCATGGCGCATATCCCTGGCTGCGGCGCGGCGGCCTCGACGGTGCACGGCAGGAGTGCGAGATACCACAAGAACACCGAGCATACGATCGCACGATCACACTTAATGAGCCCGTCAAGGGCGTTGAACACTCTTCGCCTGGCGCTCATCGTAACGATCTCCGCGAGAGAGAACGCGCTCGAGAGGGCCGCGCACACGCACGTTACAAAACGCGTCAGATGATCATCGCCGAGCCGGCGCCGAAACATCGATTATTCCCTTGGCGATCGCCTCTCCCTCATAACTGGTCGATCAACACCCGCGTCGCGCGACGATGCACTCGCGCAGGCCGACCGGGCCCATTACCGATCCGCCAATCGACACCGGGAGAAACTCCGCTCGATCCGGGAACCATCCACCGCCTTTCTTCTTTATTCGTGGTGGTCCAACGGCCTCTTCCACCGGTCGATTTCACGCTCCGCACCCGGACGAGGAACGTGGCGCATCTCCCACCGCGGGCTTGATCGAGGTTCTCGTGATCGCGGTGAACGGAGCCGCCGTTCGACGCGCGTGCGGTCGGCTCGTTCCCGAAGAAGAAGCAGCGGACGCGAAGAAGAGGAAGACGAAGAGGAAATGGTGGGGCAGCTAGGAGCCAGCTGACGCGATCATGACGGAGGTTGCTTTTAAACTGTGGTCGGTGGCATGCACGATCGGTGTCTCCTCCCCACCTACATCCATATAGGCTCGGACTCGCCTTGCTACATTCTCTTTCTCTCTTTCCCTCTCCTTCTGTATCTTTCTATCTCTCTCTCTCTCTATTCGCGCGTTCTCCCTCTTCAGCCTTTTAAAAGATCAACGCAGGCCGTCGGTTGGGTCCGACATCGAAGAAGGAACGGGAACGAGCGTGGCGGTGCCCTCTTCGGGGTCCGACCGGCACGCCACGCCGCGCCACTTCGAGAGAATCGACATCGCCTTCCGCGAGAACATGCTCGTGGATTTCGTTGCATGCTTGTCACCTAAGCGCACTGCGCACCTGACACCCGACAGGACGGCCTTGACCAACTTACGACCCAAAGAGAGCTCTCGGTTACGCCGCTGAACCGGCGTTGATCGCGGATGCTAATTGCGCAAGCCGCGTTCGGGATTTGTAATCGATCGACATACCGTCGGCAAGTCCTGGCTTGCACTCGAAAAAAGCTGAGGTGTCGGTCTGAATATACGAGAGTCTGCTGTTTCGTCTATGTAACTTCTCTTTACCCATCGATTAGGCATGACGTTCAGAGTGTGAAACGGTCGACCCGGGTTGCACGACCAAACAATATTTTCATACTATTTCAATCGATAATTATCGATTATTTCTCTCGTGTCGTGAGAAATTTCCTTCCCCTTCCTAAATAAATGGTGGGAATTCATGTAGGATTTTCTCACCACCTGTCTATAAAAAGCGATGTAAATCAGTAAGATTCAACCCAAAAATCGAAAGCTCAATAGTTGATTTCGATTTACAGTATTCGTCATTATAATCATATAGAAATTATAGTAGAAGACATTCCTTCAAGTCGATAATCACTCAGCAAATTATAATAGTATTATAATAGTATTATAATAGTATTATAATAGTATTATAATAGTATTATAATTGCCAAACTTAGTCACACGTCCTAGGTTCGTCTTTCTGACTCACAGCCTTAAATCTGACAGTCATTATGTCAAGAACGTTTTAAAATTATTTTTCGTTCTCTAAATAAATTTGTTCCTGCAAACCGTAATTTTCTCTCACTTAATAATTCCTTTCTTTATAAATCGATATACACATATACACATTCACTCATTTATACAACTTGTTTAACCTATTCCCGGGATAAATTGATTAAATCTTCTGACCCTAAAAGAGATAATTATTTAAATATACATTCACGATATGACATAGTACTGTTTATCACGTTAAATCTGAAAATATCCCTTAGCTCTGGTTGTATTTCGATACTTTTCGATATGTATTATTCATGCGCAGTGTGTAACCAAGGAGAGTAAATAACGTTATTCTCAGTACCAACTTTAAGATATTCCGCGAGAATTTCGCGAGCTTTGCTCTGTAAATAGAGCTGCGAGCCAACCACGTGGATTCAACACCAATAAGACGCCCGACATTAGTGTTACAGAAACCCGAAAAAGTTCTAAAAAGATCACAAATATTCTACCGGATTTCCAGTTTCAGTTCACGGTGTTAACCAAATATAAATTAAATCAAAGTCGTTTCTTGCTGACGAATNGAGTTCAAAAGCCCCCCCCCCCCGCGCGATCGCGTTGATGCTAAATCCGCGACGGGCACTGCGAGCGAGAATGACGTCAAGTGCCGTCGTCTCCGTCTCGTATCATGCCAGAGCCGGAAATACAGTGCGAAATGCGGGGCGCATCGTACCGTAAAAACGAGACAGTCCGGTCTCGAAAGCGTCGCTTCATAGCCGCTTCTCGCTACTGGCGGATAGCGGCGGCGGCGTTTCCCTAAAACACGCTACACCGACGTAGCTCTTCTCTTTATGAGCAGAAACCTGCCCATTTAATTTCCCATGAGAAATTGCGCGCGATCCCGCGTCCTCTCTTCCCCTCTTGTCGACGGCATACACAGCGGAACGTCCATTCATTCATAACGCATTTCTCAAACTGGGAAGTGACCGACGTCGTCCACGAAGTACCCATTTCCGAAATGGTCACGTACCGACTGTACGTCACGTGGATACCGATCTTTAAAGCCGCACGCTCGATTCTCTCTCTCTCTATCCCTTTCTGTCGCGCGATCTCTCGCGTATTATGCACCGCCACCGGCTCTAGGGCGTCTATTATCTTTGGCGTGCCGCTCGTTCATCTTTTTCGTCGTGACTATGATCGATGGCCCGGAGGGGAGCGCACTCCACGACGTTTATATCTGACTCGCGAAAATTACATTCGTTACATGGTTTGATACGCGCGCGATATGTCCGATCGAAAGCCCAAGATACACCGTCCCGCGGCCCGACGGTATCGTCCGAAAAGGTTTAATACCTCCCGACCTCGGTGTCTATCGGTGTCCATCTGATCTTCCGCCTCTGTTTGCGATATACGCGAAAATGTAATCCCGCGGGTACCAGCTCGTAGTCGATTTGCACTTTAAATCATTTACCGTTACTTCAGGTGTTTCAATGATATATTAAACGCGGGGGAAGGATCAGTTATGGCGTTTTATAGATAACACTCGCCTCCGCCACTGCTCGCTCGTTATCTTTTATTTCTCCCGGATGCTTCCCTCGTAACCCTCACGAGAGTGATATCATAAATTATCGTAATGAAGAGGAAAACGTCAACTCGAGATCCGAGAAGCCTTTTTTCCCGTATTATTCCGCTCGCCGTCGCCAATAGTCCAGCACCCGAAACACTGTTCCATTCAACAACTCGAGCAATTATCTACGATCGTGGAGCAACGATAGGTAAAAAATACCGACGGTCTTGAAAGAGAGAGAGAGAAAGAAAGGAAGAAAGAAATAAAAGCCAAGTCGGGGAAAAGAGTTTGGGCGTTTGTCCGGAATTTAAATTGAGCTCTCGCGCTCGTTATCTCCTCGGATTTATCGAAGACGGCGTCACCGCGGAAGATTTACCCCGTCGCCCGTTGACTTTTAATCAGACCCTTATTTTCCACGCGGATACACACCGTAATGATCGATACGCGTGCGAATCCTTTCGCGCGACCTCGTGCATGATCCTACACCCGGGAATACCGGTTCTTCCTATCTCTCTGCCGCGACGGCAAAAACGCCCGGCTGCGAGTATGGTATAGGTAGCGCGCGAGAGAGCGCGGATCGTTGACGAGCTTCCCGAGGAAGAGAGCTCTGCGAGAGATGTGATTGCGCCTTATTAGGGATGAGTCCGGCGAGCGAACGAGCTCCGGGGGAAGCGACGATTGTCTGACTGGCGGAGGAGAGCATCGTCCTCTATTCGCGATCCACCGGGAACTGCGGTACGCACGAGGGGCACCAATTAGGGGCATCGCGCGCGTCTCTCGAAGAGACGAATCGGACGATTCGTAGTGCCGACCTGCGTAAAACGGCGCTCACACCGAGATTTTTCACATTATACGATGAGGGAAGGGACCGCGGCGATTTCCCGACCCGCTGAACTTTCGTGACGTTTATATTCCGGTTATATTTCATCCCGCGGTGATCTCATATCGCCGGTCGTAACGGCCGGCCCTCTTCGTGGCCGGCGAACGATTAAAAGTTTCGGCACAACGTTTTACACTCACCGCTGACGCGCGTGGTTTTATATCGGGCGGAATATACGAGCAGTCTCGGTCGCGTCGAACAGAACTCTCGTGATCTTCTTATATGGACAATAAAACGGCTCTTAGATCTTTTTTTCTTCTTCTTTTACGAGAGTTCTGTGAAATTCAAGTGCGCGCGATCGGGCGGCCCGGCATGACACGGGTCGGTAGTCTTCGAGCGCACGCGCTTCGAATACATTCCGCTCTTTTTGCTATTTTCAGTTTTCACTCGAACGAACGTCTATTCCTGCGCGACTTCGTCTCCTGCTCGGCCGGCACCAGCGGCGGCAGACTCGCGAGATGGCTGCAGCCGGACAGCTTTGTGGACCCCACTCAATGCGAGGCGCTTTATTCGCGCGAGGATATGAGATGCGGATGGCCGGCCATCGTCACCGTGCTCACGAGAGATCAATATGGCGAGGTCGTGCACGTTCCCGGATTGAAGGTACGGTATTCTCTCTAAGTACGGCCACTTCCCGTCGAGGGGGAAGGGACGTCGCTCGTCCCCCCTCGAGTCGCCGAAGCGCCCGTGTCGATGTGAGATCGATTCGCAGGTCGAAGTGAAGGCGGTGCCGATCGACAAGACGGACATCACGGATTCCGATCAGAGTCGGAAGATTCGTCGCGTCTCCCAGCCGGACCCCATGACCTTCGGTGGTCATCCGCAGCCGCCGTTAGACGTTCCCTACGAGGTCACCATCAACAACAAGATGTGCTTCTACGCCATCAACATCATGAAAGCCTATCAGAATTACTCGTTCGAGGAGCTGCGGCTGATGTCGCCCGCCGTGAAAAGGTCGAGCGAGAGCATGCTTGTGAGACCTAACGGCGACGGCAGTTACAGCGCCACGTGGACGCCGTCTTCCGTCGGCTGGTATTCGCTGATGATCACCGTGGACGGTTACAATATGGAAGATGTGAGCAGATTATTTGTCCTCTCATACAGGATGTATCTGAACTCTGCCACAAATTTATAGGGCAGGTTCTGTGTTGAAAGATAAGTAAAAAAGGTCTTGGTAAACGTATGCCCGCAGAAGCTTGCTTTTTGAAATATAGATTTTAGGATATGACGATGAAGGAAAATGTGTCGTGACAAGCGGGTTAGAAATGTTAATACGACACTTTCTTTTATCTGCTTTTCAAGATAACACCTATCAATTGTGATGTTTTTGAATATTAACCGAAAAATCATTCATTGTGACGTTGGTGCATTATTACCGTTTATCGCGAGTGAAATTGAAAAAAACGTATTATTTCCCACATAAGTCAATTGTACATTGATGAAGAAAGCAGATGTCTGCATTTCGAATAATTTTAACAGTATTTGTAAAATACGATTTAATAAATAAAATATATATTTTTTTAACTGAGACTGTGGCAGCTATATCTCAGAAACTGAGCGTTTGGGAACATATTTTTACTAAGACCTTTTTATTTATTTTTTTATGCAAAATCTATTCTGTGAATTTGCCGGTGGAGTGCAGATACACACACATACATATCCTGTACATTTAGAAATACTCGAGATATTTCCCGTCGGGTTAGACACGATCCGCTAGCGAATTAAAATGAAATTCGGCTCCGTTTAGAATTACAAAGTCGAGGTGAAGGAGTCTCCGCAAGGCATGCAACCGCCCACGCAGAACATTGTCAAAAAGCCGCAGCTGCAGCCAAGCAGACTCCGGAAATTCGTGGCGAAGAACAGCGCCGGTCTGAGGATACGAGCCCATCCGTCGCTGCAGAGCGAACAAATCGGATTCGTCTCGGTTAATGACACTATAGCGTTCGTCGATGAGGTAACGTCTAAGGAAGCTTAATCGGCGATGCTTTAATTCAATTCAACCTCGCGGCTCGCGCTACGAGACGAACTAAAGACTCAAGACGAAATAAAAATATACATCTTCGCTAAATCCTGAGTTGATAGAAATGCAACATTTTTGTATATTGAGTCAATCAAATGTTACCAATATTCCCAATCAAAAGGAGTTTGATTCGATTCTCGAGTCAAATTTCCGACTTGATTCCTTTCAGTGGGATCAAATTATCCATATAATAACCGTTATTATGATTTGTTTGTTAACGATGGTTGGTTTACTCGAAGAAGAGGAAAAATTGAACTTTTTGACCAATCCAAACTTGCGTCGAAATTATCTTCATACGCTTCGGAAAGTGAAATAAAAAGGATATAAGTGAGAATATAATATCTTACTCTTCCGCCCGATCAGATTCATAACGACGACGGCGTCTGGCTGCGATTAAACGCGGAGACGATCAAGGAATACTGCAACAGCAGTCACCTGGAGGCTTGGTGCTTGCAGTACAATCAGCACTTGGGGAAGACTCTTTTGCTCCCGGTGGAGGAACCCAAATCTATTCTCGATCAAGTAATCAAGGAGACCATAATGCGAAAACGGCCCGATACTGGCGACGAGTATGTGAAAAAAAGATGTATCTTTCTCTATCGCGCCTCTTCTAGCTGTTTCTTAATTTAACGCGACAGTCTTTCTGCCGTTCGCAGCAAGAGGAAAACGGTGACCTTCGACGCCGGAAGGAGCATGATAGTCGTGAAATGCGGGGCTTCCGGGCACAATATCAGAAGCAAGCCCAGCTTGAAGAGCGCGCCAGTCGGGATGTTGGCGCTTGGGAATACAGTAACTATTCAGGAATACGTAAGTTCATCGTGTCCGAGAGATACCATCGAATGTCCTTTTTCTCTCCAAGTTCCTGCACCGTTCGATTGCGCTTCGTGGTCTGTTGCAGTGCGTGAACCACGAGGGCACCTGGGTGCGCATCGATGACGACTCGGTGACGAAGTACTGCTTCGACAAGGGCCGCGGAGGCGTCGACGGCGAAGCGTGGTCGCTCGCGATCAATAAACACGGCGTGATTTACATGAAGATTGAGCAGGATCTGGAAAACGACCCGATAGAGAAGAAACCGATGATACCGGACCCGGCCGCTTCCCCCACTAACAAAGGCTTCGATTTTTCGATACCATCCGTGAGCCACGAGGGCTTCAACTTCACCACACAGAACTACACACCGGACACGACGGAGTCCGTCGAGGGTTGCAATACGAATCCATTTGTTTTCGGCTCGTACAATCAGCACGACTCACCAGGTACGATAGAGAATCGCGGGAGGGATGGGGGAGGGGAGAGTTCTCGGATAACTTGTTGCATCCGACTGTATGCTAAGTACGTTCCGCAGGAAGCGAACGATTTACACCGGAGAAGAACGACGGGACTGCGAAGTTCTCGAAGCCTCATTCCAAGGAAAGAGTGGCGAAGGAGCGGGAGAGGGAAGGCGGCGGCGGAAAGTTTAGTGTTCTTCAAAAATGGCTCAGAGGGGATGATAAATGTCACGGCGAGAAAAGAAATTCCCCGGGCAGGTATGGAAATGTATTCATTCGTACATAATATTCCTCTCATACATCTTTCATCATTTCGAGCAAGTTTTTCGTCAATTTGGAATATACAATTACGCTCCTTCGTTTCTCCCGAGTTACGTCAACGAACTTTTCCGATTTATCGATTTTTCCCTTGCGAACGCGGAGTTTCCCCGACAAATTTGCGATACAATTCGCCTCTTCGTGCCGAGAAACTCCTCCGGAAGTTCGCGGAATTTCCACGCGTTAATACGCGAATGTCCACACATCGGTATGCGTCGTTGATTGGCTTTTCAGGGATTTCTCGGAATTCGTGGGCGTGTCTGTGAAGGAGCTGGTGAAAGCAATGGGGGAGAGTCGCGCGAACGGCAACGGAGCGACACCGCCGGAGACTCCTCGGCGAACGTCGAGAAGTTCCTCGCCGAAGAATCCCCAAGGTGGGTCACCAAGATTTCGCAGTCCGTCCTCTAGCCCAGTCCCGATACCCGGTACGTATTCGGTGCTTGCACTCGCAATGACGTATATATCAGACATCATTTCTCCGAACGGATCTTCTTCTTCTTTCTCGCGATCCATTCTTCTTCTAACCGTATATATATACATACATGCCTAATACCCTCATGTGACTTGGCACTATAAATCCTTTGAAAATGAAATCATTTCAGAAGCTGTGAGAACGGACGCTGACACTTGTAAGGCTATACAGTTTCTTACATATTTTCATTCCCTCTCTTTATCCGCGTGTTAGAGCACAGAAAGCGACATTCGACACACAGTGACATATTACGTAATGAAATACATGATAGATCATAGAAAGAGAGAGAGAGAAAGAGAGAGCCCGGTAGATCATTTTATATACGGACACTCTGACTATACTTACTCTAAGTACGTTGTTCGGATTAGTTATAACAAATTAGTCATGTTGTGGTCTTAGCTGGGTCCAGTCGACAGCCAGCTGTTTCTGGCAATTGCCTCTTCCCGCCTGCTGCTAACGCACCAGGTACTCGCTCCTATCCTACTGAATTACTCGAGTTGTAAGATAGCGTATATGATGCATAGTTTAGCCTGTATCGTCGAGGATCTGTTTTAATCATCACCGTTTACCTTACGTCTACGAATTCTATAGGATTGATGGCACGCTAGAAACCACTTCAGTATTGATCAGTGAATATTACAAACACTGTATTATGCATGCGAGACAGCGGTAGTTGCAAATCGGAATGGCACGCGATATTATTATTATTTCGTTTCTTCGTGCATGCATGAGATCGATTATAACATTACGCACAGCGAGCGAGCGCTCCATTCGAGGCCGGAGATCGAGGAACGTAGATAAAACGTGGCCTACAATGGGCGGTAGGAATATGTTTGTGAGAAGTAAGAGCAAGAAATTGGCCAATCATAGTTAATTATTCTCCTTACACTCGGATATGATTGGTCAATTTCTTATTCTCACTTCTTATGACAGCCCATTGTAGACTAGGCTTAAAAGCTTCTCGTACTAATTGTAAGACATATACCCTCGACACGATATACAAACGCTACAATTAATCGAAATTATTAGGTGGGAGAAGCGCGATAGGAGGGGGAGAGAGTATGAGTAGCAGCCCTGTGCTCTGCGGCTCCCCCCGAAGTGTCGGCCTCTCCCCGTTAGGTAAGACCACCGATACACACTCTAATACTCCCCTTAGTTAAAACATCGTATTGAGATCTGTTAACCAATCGGTCGTAAGATCTTGTGTCGCTCCCCTTACTCTTTGTATCCGCACACTGCCGTAAGGACGACAAGTACCGTTCCTCAGAGACCTTCTTTAATTTGCAACACGGTCGCACGAAGTAATCTGCACGACTTAAACTCTTTGAATGAATTGTACAAGCGAATGTTACGATGAATGTTTCTATCTGTCCATGTATGTGTGCGTGCGAATGCGTGCGTGAGTGTATATACATGTACATATCGCCAGCGAGGTGAGGGCATCCTCGCTACCTCGAGGATTGAGTATCCGAATACGTCCTCGCGACATGGACCGGTTGTTACTGCATCGTTATCCTTCTTTTCTTCAAGTGTCGGGAGGGATGGTCGACAGCATCACGTCGCAACGTCGCAGCTCGACGCAGAGCGACACAAGTGCCTTGGTTAGCAGTCTGACGAGAGATCCGTCTCAGTCACCGAGCGGCATTAGTACTACTGCCAATACGCGCGATCTATCGCCGAGCCCGAGTTGCAGTTCTTTACACATGAGATCCGAGGGGAGCATAGCGAGCCCGCCCGATACTCCGAAGAAAGATTGTTGTTGCGTAAGTGATAACATAACACGAAGGCCCTTCTTAATCCTGCTAACGAGTTCCCCGATCCACTTAACCGATAAACACTCATGAGAGAGAGGAGGGGAGCTCTCTCACTGATAGCGTCGCGCAAAGAACAACACAGCGTGAAAGCGTGCAATTGTTTCTTAAAGGATTCCCAGGAGAGCCCGCGCAAAGTGTCGCAGGCGCAGACACAAACGAGTCCCGAGAGCGCCGCTACGGCGATGAAGGGTCACTTTAGCATCGGCTCGTCCGGGGTGAAGGACGAGCGGCATTCGCCGAAGATGAGCAGGAGGGATCACATGAAGGTCGCGAAGACGCGGGCGAAGCGCGCCATGTCGCCGGCGAACACCCAGCAGAGCCCCAATCCGAACCGGCCTCTGAATTTGAGCAAGGACAAGGTGAAGGAAGCGGTCAGCCCGTCTGTGGCGGAGTGTCTGAGGGCCGTGTTCGCGGCGTTCCTGTGGCACGAGGGCATCGTGCACGACGCCATGGCTTGCGCGAGTTTCCTCAAGTTCCATCCGACCCTGCCGAAGCAGGGCGCGTTGGTCGTTACCCGACAAGCGGTCGTGCAGCCCAGCGACAAGCAGCAGCAAGAGCAAAAGGCGCGGCAACGACACTCCGTCGAGGTGACCAACGCCGGAAATTATCTGCACATTCAGCCCAGCACGTTGGAGACTCTGACGCGTTCGGCCGCGAACGCTAACGCCAATCGGAGCAGGAAGAAACAGGAGAACACGATCAAGGAGGAGATCCAGGCGAACAGCAGTAAGCTCAGCTCCCTCCCCGAGTTTCACACGGTCGCGGTGTTACCGCCCGCCCTGAAGAGCCTGGTCTTCCTCTGGGAAGAGCTCAGCACGAATTGCCTGCAGGCCATCGAGCAACAGTCGATCCTGCCGAGTCCCATATCGCACGTACAAACGATGAAGCTGGCGAAACGGCCGATACCGGAGAAACGTCCCCGGGAGGACAAGGTGAAGGAGCGCGAAAAGAAAGGTAGTAGAAAGAAGAAGGAGTGGCGGCCGATAGGAAGGGCGGACACTTCTGAGGTTTTTACAGGGATCGAGCGCGAGACTATCTGCGAACTCTGCGGTCTGATGTTCCCGCATCCAGTTACTTATCACATGAAGATGATGCATCCAGGCTGCGGCTGGCATGCCGGCGGAAAAGGATACAACAGCGGCGGCAATTACTGCGTTGGCTGGGCGGGCAACTGCGGCGACGGTGGTGTCGGCGGGAGCTCGTGGTACTTGATCTGCGACACGTGCCGAGATAAGTATCTCAAGGCCAGGAAGAGCAAGTTGGCGAAGAAAATGGAGACCGGCGTGTCCAAGAGGAAGAGCAGCAGCAGCAAGGCGCTATCCCCGATTTACAGCCCCGGCGGCAACGAGACTCACATCATTATGAAGAATAACGCGATGTTCCTGCTGGATTTGGCCAGCGCCTCCGGCTTCAATATTCCGAAACAGCAGCGCCGACCCTCGCAAACGCTGTCGTCCGTGGCGGAGAATTACAGTCCCCCGGAGGCAGCCGGACCGTTCCCGCCGACCGGGCCGTTCCAATGCTTGCAAGCTTTGGGTGTACATCACTCGCAGAGCCACGACGAGAGATATTACGAGGAGGCTCTCAGGCGTCAAAACGGCCAGCAGAATAATTACGAGGGAGCCAGCGCCATGTACAACAATACGAGCGGCAGGGTAAGAGAACGCATGCCCCGACGTTCAACTCTCCTCTTCATCTTTTCTTTTCTTTCTGGTGTTTAACGTTGCCCTAATCGCTGCTCCGATCTTGTTCACAGCCACTGTCGGAGTATCCAATGAGCGACAGCGATATCGAGAGCGGCAAGTATCGCAGTATGTTTCATAGATCGGTGTCCATGTCCACCGGCGCGCCGTGGGCCAGGAACAGCAACGACGGCAGAATCGTCATGATGAGGAAGCGGAATAACAGCAGTGGCGAAATGAACAACGGTACGGTCGTGCTTTAATGCTAAAACCGCACCAATGTGGATATCCGGGTCACTTTTGATCCACCTTTTTTTTGCAATTATCTTGGACTTTCTTGAAGTTTATGGTATTGTTTAATTTTTAAATGACGAAGAAGGCTCATCTAGTGGTGGAAATCGAAAGAAATGGGAAAAGAGAATCTACAAGTGGGTGAAAAGTGATCCAACCGCGGTTCTAGTAGAAATAAATCCAAAAGTACGCGCTGCAAAAACGCGAGAACGATTATCGAGTTTTTCCCTGGAACGTTAAAGATGCATTTCGTCGGTTTTCAGAAGGGGGTTCTTCGCTCCTGTGTTATCCGTCCGCCGCGCTCCAGAAACTAGTACCATCGATGGACCAATCCGTGATAGTATCTTCAAGTCAAACCGAAGTAGCGAATAACGATCGGATCGAGATTCTCATGAGACCGGTGATGCTATTCGTTCTTCAACAGCACAACTTGCAGCATCTGCAGCTCGCGATGAAGCAAGCTTTGCGCCGCGCCGCCTGCCGAGTTTACGCGATGCAGGCGTTAAATTGGCTTTTGAGGAGCGTAACTCAGCCAATTTGCCTGCACGACTTGCTTTGGTGGTTCGTCTCGTCTCTAACGCCGGTTGTTCCCGCCGACACGGCGGATACGAACGACGACGACAATAGAACGGAAAAGAAGGAGGATCATGTGAGTGAGATACTTCGTTAGGATTTGCTTGTGGGATATGGATCGATGTGATGTGTGTTATGATTTTGTCTTGCATACTCAGGACGTGATTGGCGTCAGCGAGCATCCATTAAGCGACTTGGTAATAGCCGGAGAATCTGTCAATCCGTTGCCCACTGTGTTTCACACCCTATTACAAACGATTGCGGATCTAATGTTATTACCACCACTCGGTAAGTTCGCTCAACTGATAAGTATCGGTGTGTTCGAGTGAACATCCGAAGCGAAATCAATAACTAACAACAATTATAAGCAAGATGCAAATGCGTGATTCTTATGATCAGTATGAGATGTGATTAAGCAAGAACAATAACGCTGAGAAATGAATAACTTGCAATTTGCAGGATCTCCGTTGCAACAAGCCGCGATTCGGTGTTGGGGTATCCGTTTTACACCGGCGGACCACATGTTCCTGCACAGAAGTCACGTATTCAGTAACATCAGCAAGATTCTCTCACGGTCCGAGGAGGAAGAAGATGTGACGATGAGCATGCACGAGAGCCACCAGTCGACGGTCTCGCAGCAGATGAGCGGTTGCGTGGAGGCCCTGAAGGACCTGACGTCCAGCGTCGATATTAAGGCGTCCAGCAGGCAGGCCATGATCGGCAGCCTCACGGACAATTCCACGGAAACCTTTTGGGAATCTGGAGATGAAGACCGCAACAAGACCAAAGTCATCACTATCGTCTGCGGTGCTCATTCCTTGCCAAGAATGGTGTACGTGCACATCGACAATTGCCGCGACTTAACAGTAAGTTCTTCTTCTCCCAAAAGAAGATCGGTTTGTGTTGAGCGAATATTCGTCTAATTGAAAATCTCCCCAGCATAAAGTGTCGAGTGTAACTTTCCTGTCCGGCGTTAATTCCGACGAAATGATCAAACTGAGATCCGTAGAGATCGAAAGTAGATCAGCCGGATGGATCAATTGCCCTATCACTGGTAAAATGCAAAACAAAGTTTGTCACTCTACAAGGGCAGAGCGTTTTAAAAGATCTGAAAGAAGACAGATTTTTAGAACACTGTGCACAACGACGGACTCACTGTGTAGTAACAATGAGTGCGTGTGTTCTCCCACGTAGATCAACGCCACGTGGTCGTGGGTATGGAACTGAAGGGCCCGGATAATTCCCTGAGAGTTCGCCAGATCAGAGTGCTAGGCGAGATCGAGGGGGAGTCCTTGAAAGTAGGGAAACAGCTGAGCGCGCAGACCATTCAGCAGAGAAACTGCGAAGCGGAAACCTTGAAGGTGTTTCGCTTGATCACTTCTCAGGTGAGCGCGCTCCCTTCCTCGTGATTTGCCTTCTTTTTCCCTCCTCTTTGGAACATCATCCGCATGAATTGCGCGTTACAGGTGTTCGGGAAGCTTATACAAGGGGAGAAACAGCAGCAGATGGAGCCGACGGAGGGCGTTAATGAGGACGTGGAGGATAGCAATGACCTGAGAGAGCATATGGTCGGCATATTATTCAGCCGGAGCAATCTGACACACTTGCAAAAACAAGTGTGCACCCACATCGTGCAGGCGATCAGAAAGGAGACCATACGCATGAGGGAGGAATGGGAGACACTTCTGTTCTCGCCGACGCCCGCTAATAGTTTACTGAGTGACAACAGCGATCTGCAAAAGGCGACCGATACGTATTGCTTCGAGATGCTTTCCATGGTTCTCGCTCTGAGCGGCAGTTCCGTAGGGCAGTATTACCTGTCGCACCAGACTGGCTTACTGAAGGATCTATTGAGCCTGTTACATACCGGATCGGCTAGAGTGCAGCGCCAAGTGCGTTATTTTCGCTATCGGATCCTCGCGTAGAGACGCTACGTTTCGACACGCGTTGTATCTCGTGTCTTTCAGGTGACGTCCCTCTTAAGACGGATATTGCCCGAGATCAAGCCGGGAACGTTAGCGAGCGTTATAAACGTCGAGCAACTGCCGCCTACCGACTTCAGCATTGTCTCCGCGGCGAACAGCAGCCTCGCTCATGTCGCGGATTTCAACGAACATTCCGCCGGGATCCTCGACGTGTTTCTCAGCTGCATCGCGAAGGCGTTGACGGTGCAGGTTAAGATGAAAGGAAAGGAAAACAATGGTAAGGCCCTTCAGAGCGTCTCGTTAGCCAGCAGCATTCATCCGGACAGTTACGTCGGGACGAGATGGTGGCTGAGAGGTTGCATGACGCGAAAGCTGGCGGAAGTGCTGATTCAGCTTCTGAAGGACATGGCATCGGTGAGTGTATGGTAACGGCTCGTCTCGCGAACGTGACGACGTTCTCCCTTTCAGGGGAAATTGTCAGAGGAATGGGCGTCCGTGACGAAGGCTGGAATAGCCGAGAACATTTTAAACTTGACCAGATTGGACGAGAAGAGTCGAGATCCCGCCGAATGCCTTCGATCCCCGACACTGTGGTTAGCGCTCGCTTCTTTATGCGTCTTAGACTCCGATCACGTGGAGAGATTGTCGTCCGGTCAATGGAGGGGTTCCGAGGGTCAAGCGCCGCCGCCCAGGGTAAGGCTGACGCGTTTCCGAGTTGGCGTTCCGCAGTGGAATCGCACTATCCGCTCTCCTCGTTTGTACTCAGCCGACATGCAGCAATCATGACGACGACGAGACCACGGCCATTATCCAGTGTAACGTTTGCGGCAACCTGTGCGCGGAATGCGACCGGATCCTCCACCTTCATAGGAGGACGAGGACGCATCTCAGGCAAGTGTGCAAGGAGGAGGAGGAGGCGATACGGGTGGATCTTCACGAGGGTTGCGGCAGGACGAAGCTCTTCTGGATTCTCGCTTTGGCGGACAGCCGAACGTTGAAGGCGCTGGTGGAATTCCGCGATGGCTCGCCGAGGAAACCGGTCGGCGCGGCCACCGGTATCTGCCGATTCTGCGGCACCACCGGCAACACGGGCCTGTTGGCGATAGGGAACATCTGCGCCGACCACGATTGCCAGGAGCACGCGAATAACGCTTGTAACAAGGTTCACTCTTGCGGCCACATTTGCGGCGGTGTCAGGAACGAGAGAACCTGCCTACCCTGCCTGCACCGTTGCTTACCGGGGTCCGATTTGAAACAGGACGCCGACGACATGTGCATGATCTGCTTCACCGAAGCTCTCTCCTGCGCCCCGGCGATCCAGTTGCAGTGCGGCCATGTGTTCCACCTGCACTGCTGCCGGCACGTGCTGATGAAGCGTTGGGTGGGACCGCGAATCACCTTCGGCTTCTCCCTCTGCCCGATTTGCAAGGTACCGATGGAGCATCCGACGTTGTCCGAGCAATTGGCCAGTGTGAAGGAACTCTACGACGACGTGCGGAGGAAAGCTCTGATGCGCTTGGAATACGAGGGCTTGCACAAGTAATGTCTCTTGGATAGTCGACGTGTGGTCGAAGTTGGAGAGCGTTGTGGTCGCGCGAAATAAGAATTTCCTCAACTGAGTTCGATACCTTTCCGCAGGGCCGAAGGAGCTTTCGCACCCGGCGGTCGTTACCAGGATCCAGCCGCCTACGCGATGGAACGGTACGCGTACTACGTGTGCTACAAATGCCAGAAGGCCTACTATGGTGGTGAGGCGCGATGCGACGCACAGCTAGGCGGGGAGTCGTTCGATCCTACGGAACTGGTGTGCGGCGGATGTAGCGACGTGGCAAGGGCTCAGATGTGTCCGAAGCACGGGGCAGACTTCCTCGAGTATAAATGCCGATACTGTTGTTCGGTGGCGGTCTTCTTCTGCTTCGGAACCACGCACTTCTGTAAACCTTGCCACGACGACTTTCAGCGAGTTACCACCATCCCCAAAAACGAACTGCCTATGTGTCCCGCCGGTACGTATGCACTATTCTCGACGACGAGGACGACGATTAAGTCTATGTAATAGGTGTGGTAAGCCTTTAGCTTTTTGCTCTAAGCGATAAACTGCGACGTCTGAACAGCACTTTGTTGCTGGAAATTAGGTTACAATTTAGTGCTTGGAGCAAAAGGCTTACCGAACCTATTACTGTACCTAGATTCGGACTGACACTACCGAGGACTGATATCATAATGTTCTATTCTAAGGTCCCACGGCCAAACAGTTAGAAGGAGACGAATGTCCGTTGCACGTGAAACATCCACCAACGGGAGAAGAGTTCGCTTTAGGTTGCGGCATTTGCCGCAACGCGCACACATTCTAAGCTTCCAATGCTCTCTCTTGTGATTATCATGAAATTGGAATTGACACAACCTGTAGCAATGGGTCTTATAGTTTCAATACCTGGCGAAAAATACGCGATGTGACCGAAGATACGATACTTGTTAAGTAATAGATAAGTCGTTTTTATCGGTAAATCTAGTAATTAGCCGCTGACAGAGAGTGAGAGAGAGAGAGAGAGAGATGTGTAAGCTTGCGTGTCAAACTTCCATGCGATTTAAGAGGAAGATTTGCACTGGACGCTACGTAGGCTGTAATTGATGATATTTGTAATGTGTCTTAAATAGGCATGGGATCAAGTGCACCCTAAATATAGTATCAATTTTATGAGTATATTGAAACGTAGTAGCATCTAAAGTGTAATCAAAACTTTCTGTTTTCCAATCGAACCAAGGTATGCGCACTTTGGAACCTAACAATATCATAATGTAATCGAAACTTCCTCAAATATATAGATATATATATATATACATATTGCATATAATCATTTGGTATATACTTGATTCTATGTTTGACTGTAGCATAAATTCTTTACAAGTGTGTGAAATATATCTATGACGATCTATAAATATTATTCGATTTTAGTGAAATGATATCTAGCTATTGAATTGACTAAGATTTATAAATACACACCGAACTTGGTCCCATCCTAATTTTAAGCATTGAAGAGAAGAAAAATAATATAATTCTGTGCACTATTTAAAGTCCACTTTAGGACTCTGCGTAAGTATGGATAAGATTGTAAAATCTATGATTTACGAAGGAATATGGAATAGAATTCTATTCCAATTTCTGTCGCGAATTATGAATCATATAAAGTGGACTTTAGAAACGATTGACTATTGTCGATACGATTTAGTATTAGTAAGCAATGCGTAAATAAGCTGTTGTATGTGAAGAAAGTGTGTATTTAAGGACATGCACGAAATTTTCGGAAATATCACTTTAAAATAAAATCCAAACCCACAGACTTCTATATACTGCACTGGTCCGCTGACTTTAAACGTGAAACCAGCAGTTAGATGTCATATGGATAGATTGAGCATATATAGGGGGGAATATTGCGTACAGAAATATCGAATATTTTTCTCTTTATAAGGTTTATTTCTGCACAAAATAGATGTCAACGTTTTCATGCAATATCTCAGGTGAATGCAATTTCTGATAAACAACCCAGCTAAGAGAAATTTGTAAAAGGCGTCTTAAAAACGCCTAAAAGATGCCTAAAAGACATCGGATGAAGTAGGACATCTCTTAAATGCTCTTAAGATGTTTTTTAAATGTTTCTACTACCTGGGGTACATGCCTCTGCAACGCTGATTAGCATATTTCCTTATGTTTATAGTTGACGTTGTATTCTTTCATAAATATAACATAAACGTTATATTATGATATATAAACTGAACTATAAACTATAATGTATATGATATTTTCGCCTACCCGATATAAGGTCGCTATTCTCTCGTTTACATTACATTATATCCCACGCGTTAGTGGTCTGATATGCTATACAGAGGTCTGTGGTCCAGATGGATGACAAAGATGATAAATGGGAATCAGATTGTACGAATGTCTAATTAATAGTTCAATGAAACAATCGATTAGTCTTCTCGATGTTGCATTTCACGTTTTCAACTTTCATTTGTTTTTATACTTTTTCATCAGACGAGCGCGTTTGCTAACACGTTCTGAACATTATCTCTCCCCCCGCCCTACGTAATATCTATGTAATGTCTTTTATTACATATATTATTTTGCGCAAACGACAGTATTGTCGTGTTGCATTGTCGTATTGTACTGTTGTATATGAATGTTGTGTGCAGACGATATAGCGTACCTGTGTTGCGCGCGATTATTGTTATTATTTATATTCCGATTTCTTGTGAATTAAATGGCGAAAGATCACGAACGTTATTTCGCTGATACGTTCCAATTTCCATTATTTATTTATTTAGACACAACATGCAACTTGGAAACCTCGCTGTTTTGTGTTTTGCCAACGATTAAGTTAAAACGGCCCAGCAAGATTAACATTTTGCGCATCGATCGCTATTATTTATGTTCCAAGTGTATAATAATTAAATGGCAAAGAATCAAATGAGTCGTTTTATTTCGCAACGTTTACATTATCACCGATTAAAACTAAAAGTAGTTTTAATGAGAACGTCGGACACTTACCGCCGAACATTCGAATTTAAATAGAATGATTGAATTTAAAGAGAAAAATAGAATATCATGAGTTTTCATGATTCATAATATTATCGTATTAATAGTTTAGATGCATCATGTTCACACCTTATGCATATTTTAATAATATAAATATAGATTAGGCAAGTTTTTCTACTCTGTCTTATATTCATGCTTCTTGTCGTACTAATTTTTGATATTACATTACAATATTTCCTACCAAAATAATCAGGTTTGACCTGTTTCTCCAGTTTTACGTGATTTTGCTTATAAATTAAATAGTGAATTTGTAATTTCTCCAATTAATTTGATAGAACGATACATTTCGTTGCTAGTAATAGCAGATTCGGTCCGATGCAAACTTATAATTCGCACTAGTAAAATAGAAAGCAGCAACTTACCGAAGCATAGAAGCGTAATGCATCGAAGCCTCGGGGCGAACTCGTTGCCGTCGTGATACCGTTCGTTATATATGTAAATATCGTCGTTACATTATTCGCACACGTACTGCAACAATTGCCCGTCGTCCGATTTGCCATTTCCAACATTCATTCGTGCGCGGGATTCACTTTCGTGCCACAAAAAGATGCGATGAATACCGAATGATCGTGACTCGAGTGCAACCGTCGCGAAATGATGTGAAACAAGTACGAACTGGCACGAGTGTGTGACGTCATCGTTTTCACCACGGTATTCATATGAACAATTGTTCGAATAGTTCCGATATAATCATTCACGCGCACGATGATCAGTGATCGCATTCTTTATTCGTTTATTTTACATTGACATTATTTCAAACCTTTTCTGGGTATTAAAGAATACGATTTTCGATAAATAAATCATAGTTAAACTAATAGCGCGCACGATATGCACGTTGAATCGATGATGCTTCTTCGAGAATCTCAATCGCTGCGACGTCCAAGTCAGTCGAAGAACGATCATGGCGTAACGATGCCACCTCGGGGAATCGTTCTCCCGCGATTTCAGCCTACCGAAAGTGAATCTCGCGTGTTGGTGAATGTGAATCACCGTCGTTGGTAGTGCCGAGAGAGAGAGGGTTTCGTACGTTTGCTGCAACAAGATATCGTCAAGTAGTCGTTCGAATATCTCGCGAAACGGGCTATCGAATGTGTCGGGCGAAGTGTCGTACGTCTGCCGCGCTATGGTAGGTAGCAGCTCGAGTCGTTGCTTCACTCTCTCGACTCGTCCAAGAAGAGTCTCGCGCGCGAAATATCGTCGAGAGTGTTGAGAGAAGAAGGTGTTTCGTTCGTTTGTTTCGACAGAATATTATCAATAGCCTCGGAAAGTGCACGGATTTTGGGGACGGGCATGCAGCTGAGTGAAACTGTCGGGTTGTGACGGTTGGAGTTCAAATCGCTGCTCTCGACCGGCGAAAGAGGAGTCGGTAAGTATCGATAAAACAGAGAGGTTATAACAGATAACGCGCTTGCGACTTGACATGTTAGCTATTGGACCTTCGTATGTTACGTGTTAAAGTCAAATGAAAAGCGAGTAACATCTGCGGATTGTACGAAAAGAAACCCTTTTCTCGGAGGCCGAGAATCAAAGTAAAATAATCTACATTTATATATTCATAATGACATTTTACTTTCTTCGGTAACATCAATCTCATAGTCATTAATTATTATTATATTAATGGTCTTACGGAAATTCACATTATTGGTAGTATTTAGATTAGCTAATAATGTGGTATTATTTTTATGATTCATAATTTTTCAAATATATTAAATATTTGATAAAACACACATATATATGTGTATGTGTTTTAATGTGGTATTATTTTTATGATTCATAATTTTTCAAATATATTAAATATTTGATAAAACACACATATATATGTGTATGTGTTTTATCAAATATTTAATATATTTGAAAAATTATGAATCATAAAAATAATACCACATTAAAACACATACACATATATATGTGTGTTTTATCAAATATTTAATATATTTGAAAAATTATGAATCATAAAAATAATACCACATTATTAGCTAATCTAAATACTACCAATAATGTGAATTTCCGTAAGACCATTAATATAATAATAATTAATGACTATGAGATTGATGTTACCGAAGAAATTGATAAAACACACATATATATGTGTATGTGTTTTATCAAATATTTAATATATCTGAAAAATGACGAAAAATGATGAAATATATATATATATATATATATATATATATGCGTTTACTATACAGTAATATTGCATATTTTAAGACTAAAATTATACATTATGTATTTATATTGGATGATCGAAACACATAATGTCAACGCCCTCTCCCATCTTTCGGTCACCCGAGTTTCATTAGTAGTCACGAATTTCCGATCAGGATCGACGGTATATTCTATTCGATGACATTACGTCATCCGCATGCGTATATTCGGTACGAAAACCAAAAGTCGCGCGCTCGCGTATCCGCCGACGATTGATCCAAGATGGCGGGGGCGCGCGGGCGCCATCGTGCGGCAGTCCGCCTCAAGCAGTCATCGCGGAGTAACGTGTGTGTGTGCACGCGCGATCCTGACGTTTTTCGCCTCGATCAGCGGTAAGTAGCCTTTATTTACGAGCCGTGCAACAATAGTTACATAATTCCCGAGACGCGATATGCGCGCGTAGCCGCACGTCGCTAGGCTGCGGGCGCTAGATACGAGTTTTGCGCGCGTCAAACGCGGCAACGGAACGGAGAGACGTCTGCCCGAGAAGGTGAGGCAGACGGAGAGAGAGAGAGAGAGAGAAAGAGAGAGAGACGTGCGATAGTGCTCCTACGCGCGTTCGTCCGTGCCACCCCGCTGTCAACTGGCACTGTTTATTTTTACCACAAATTGCAGTCAATTGCGGCGCCGCTTCAATTGGGCGAAATTGTGCGCGTTCGTGCTCGACTCGCCAGTCAATACCCGCGCGAGCGAGCCTCCCCGCGTATCCTGCGCGGCGGAAAACTGTGAAAAACCGTGACCTTCCAATTTTCGGCGCTACGCCGGTCGATCTCGAACGGCTTGTCGCGCGAGAAACGGTGAGGAATCTCCTGTGATTTCGCACTCAACGGTCGTCGCTTCGCGTCGTGTTTGCCCCACGACGACGCTTAACCTCACTTCCCGGAGCGAGTCAGGCGGGTTCTGTCATTTCTGAAGATGCGTGCGCGACGTCCCCTCATCCTTGCTTCCCGTCGATGACACCGCGCGAGTTCATTCATAATGTTCGCTTAATTGTGCTTCGACGCGTGATACAAAGCGTGCTGTTGATCTTAGGCGATGCATTCGATGTTATTTGCGATTTCATTCGACGGTATTGTGCCGGCTCATCCTTTGTACCTTCGGCTTTTCTGATGTTAAATACTGCCGTGAATGACGCGATGTATTGTAATATTTTGGGCCACAGTTCGGTGATGACACACATGTCCACGTTATTCATTTCATTCATTTAATCTTAAGAATAACTTATGTTTATATAATATTCTTTCGAGCCGAACATTATGTTTATTTGTTTTGTTGCCCTACAAAATCTTCCTCTAATTGTTAATATCTAAAAGAAAAGAATAATTACGAACATCCCGAGAAAAAATTAGTATATATGATAATATATATAAACATATAAAATCATGCGATGAATTTTTCCCATATATATGAGATCATATATTCTCACATGTATTGTCACATATATTGTCATACATATCTATACGAAAAAAATGATGTTATTTAATTAAATATTAATATCATGTACTGTCGGAAACATAAGTAGCAAGAAACATTTACTTCGATTGTATTTATATATAATTTGTATGCAACAATATTGTTTCGTTATGGACACATATGATTATACATGTTTATATATGTTCATACATGATTATACATGTTTTATACATGGTCATACATGAGCAAATTTCATATATGATCCTTTTCTTCCGGGATATTTAGATTTATTATTTTTAGCTAATCTGCTATTTTTTAGGTATTGTGTGCGAGCTGAGAAAACCATGTAGATTTATTTGCGGAAAATTTGTATTGATGAAAGCAAGCGCGAGAAGGACTTGCTCCAAATTTCATTGGAAGATATAATAATTCATTGGAAGAAATAATATTTGCATTAGAGATGAGACGCACGCGCGGCAGATTGCGGTGTGCCTTGAATATCGAAACAAGGACAAGTTTACAAAGGAAGCGGACACCTGACGTTTTGTATGCGAATTTATAGCCGAATAATGACAGCACGCGGCGCGAACACGCGTGGTTAATATTTATCGCTCTCGTGGTATCGATCAAACCTTAGGACATCATGTCTCGTGGAAGTTAACGCCACGCGGCGTTTTTACATTACGATGCGAACGAACGCGCGATGAACGGTACGCGTGCCGTTTTGAAATTAACATCGAATACTGCTTATACCCGGATCGGAATGAAAATTAACACAAACGGAACGGGTCGTTTTTATTAGTGGTTTTAGCTGGACCGGTATTAGACCATTAAATGAGGAATAATACTTCTTAAACAAGCGTGCCGTTAACTCGCGAGGAAGACCTGATAAAAATTGCAAATTTCAGCCGAAAAATTACAACGACGAGTATTTAAAAACCGGTTCTTCGAGGAACCATTTTACCAAGAATCGTTTAACGCGTTCATTGCCAAGCTGAAAATTGGAATTTCGTGTGGCGGCCAAATTTTTTTTTAATTTTTTAATTTAGTTTTTATTGTGCTTAAAATAAGTTAATATATTATTTATATGCTTTTATTATTATGTACATAGTATTTATGTACTCTAAATATCTATTACACGATATGGCGTGATCGGCCGTTTGGTGAGAACTCGCATCACGCGATATCGCGTGATTAGCAATGAACGTGTTAAGCGAGATAATTTTTTCACCAAGTCAATTCTTAGAGAAGTGATAATATTTCGCTGTTAAATGCGAACGTGTCGATTCGTAGACACTAAAGAGATCAATTCTGAGGAAACTTCACGTTTCTGCGTTTATGAATTAACGTCCCGAGAAATTTCGCTACACTTCGCGTTCTCTGCATCGTTGTGCAAAAGTTACTCCCACTCTTCTAAGAGTATCGTTGTACTGTTATTCTTATTATCTGCTCCCGCAGTCGTCCGCAACGTCCACGCGATCACCGTTACCGTTATTATATTTCGCGATCGCTTAGTCATCAGCACTATCTCATCGTTCCTCATCACATCATTTGCGGTAATTATTATCGCAAGTATCTTCCTTTGTTTCGCTGGCTTTTTCCTATTATCGATCGTTTCAAATAAAAAAAAGAAGAAAAAATGAACTGAGTAGAATAGAACCGAATCGAATCATCGACCGAGCGTTATTTTAGGCTGGAAACTTCCGCGTGAAACCACCGGGAGAGCGCGAAGCGGCTCGGAACGGAATCGAATTAAAACTCCCTTATCTACACATTAATCGAATATATTAAGTGGTACCCCTCGGTCAAATAAGTAATGATCGCGCTCGCACGAGATACACGATAACGATAGGTTCCACCTTGAAAAACCTTCTCGGGAGCGTCCGTTGCATTTCACGTGAAACTGGTTTCAGACACGTGTGCAGCACGCGTCGAGCCGCGTCGAGCACGCGCCTGTCGCTCGTAGCGCGAGCGTGCATGCGGACGAATCGCTAGCGCATACAATGCACCTATCTCGGCCGCACGCGCGAGAGCACTTGCCATTTGCTCTTCGAGTAAATTACGACGTGCCGCGGGGAAATGCGCGAACGATGTGACTTATGTTACTTGAATTACGCACGAGTGCGTGGCGTTTTACTTCCTCAAAAAACAAGGAGAGAAGGAAGGAGGCCATCCAACGATTGTTATGGCGAAGCCTGCTGACGGTAGTCGCGGTTGTTTTTAACACGCCATGTGTGGCGAACCGCCTTTTAATCGAACGTTCGTCGAAGTATATTCCTGGAACCAGTTTCGGTGAGAAATCAGCGCGTACCGTTATTTTTGCTCGTATACATAACACCGAACATATGTTGCGACCAATGTCCGTACTGCTCGAGGCTTATCCGATAATTTTGGCGACGGTATTGACACACGGGAAGCATTCGGGCAAAGAAGTATTGCTTTCGTGGCAGCATCGTGCGGGACATTCGTCGTTTCGTTGACATTTTTATTGTTCGCGTTTCGCATTTTCCGTATTTCCTCAGTTTCCCAATCCGGCATACTGCTGCTCTGTCGTGGCACTCGGGATACTCATTCGAAGTACTGACGCATTCGAAATATTGGCACTGACATTCCCGTAAATACTATGATTCTATCGGAAGAACGTAATTATGTTCTTAAAGCTCATAAGTAGTTTACACCTATAAATTCTGGCCGTAATACGGGACTGAAACATTTCGTTTTTAATTTTATTTGACAAGCACGACAAATTTCTCGTGCTAATATATTGCTAGCGTAATATTTTACTTAAGAGAACTGTCTGCATATCTGATATTAATCAGGAATTTAGATTTTGAATGAATCTGCATTTTAAAATATTTTTACATTATTAGGCTGAAAAACATCTAAATGACGATTCCTGCGTTTGTGCACATTGATCCTTGCTTTCTATTGGTTTTTTCCTCGCTGTACTACCTGCATTTTGGGCTGTGCGTGTCGACACGTTCTTCTTTCATTAACTTTTGCGTGTGAATCAGCGTCAGTGCTAATTAACGATCGGTCGTGTGCAAATTAACACGAATCGTCTGCATCGTCTGCATGCCCATGTAATAATGCACACGCGCGCATGCACTGGAAAGCGCGAAGACATCTGTAAATTTTACATTTTCTCTTTCGGCCTTTTTTCTCTTTTCTTCTTTATTTCCCTCCTCTTTCCTTCCACCGCTGTTATAGTAGAAAGTTGAAAACACATCGAACTTGTCGCATCAGTGGATACGCGAGATGCATTAATTAGGTAAATATACTCGCAAATACATCTCTCGTTTTCCACGCTCGAGGATCCGCTCGACTGAAGATAATTAATCTATTGATAAATGAGCTGTTGGTCGCAAGAACATTAATTTCCTTCATTTATAGGCAGAAGAGAAAAGTTTATGAAAGCGTATAGAAAATGTCAAGTGCAATTGCTTTATAGAAATCGGATTGCTTTATAGAACTTTGTTTTTATTAATTATTATTTCACAAGAAATAAACGTAAAAATACATAGAGAAAAGGGTTTTTTTAGATTTAATATTTCTATTTATTTGATTAAAATTTGTCTCAGATTCGGAATAGAAACTCGCTAAAATTGTGGCAAATATACGTAACTTACGACGGTGCGTTTTTGCAGCGGCGGATTCCTTCCACGCGAGTTTTCTTGTCGTTCATAATCATCCAGCAGAGCCGCTCGCGATATTTAAATGTCGCGTTTCATCGTATTCAGAGTGTGACGTGCGTACGGCGTATTCTAAACGCGTTAAGTTCCGTCAAAGCGCGTCCTCATTAGCCCGATTAACGGCATTCTAATTGGGCGTAAGTAATTATAGGCTGGTTAGAGAGAGAAAGAGAGAGAGAGACCATAACGCGCCCACTCGCTTTTTGGATGCTTGCGCGAACGATGCC